CACTATGTTTCCCAGGCTGGGCTGCAACTTGCTATCCTGCTGCCTCTGCCTCCCTGAGTGCTGGGATTACAAATTTGCACCAACACACCAGCTAAATGGTTCGGTTTTTATACAGTACTAGGAATTGAACTCAAGGCTGCATGTGTGCTAACCAAGTGCTCTACCACTGAGCTATGCCCCAGCCCTTCTTACTTTATTTTGAGACAGGGCCTTGCTAAGTTTCCCAGGCTGAGCTCCAATTTGCAGTCCTCCTGCTTCAGCCCCTGCATAGCAGGGATTTCAAATATGTGCCACTGCACTCAGCTTCTCCTGGAAGTCTGAGGTGTACATTTCTGCAAGAGGTTCTTGAGACAGGCGTGTGGCACACACCTGTAATCCCAGCACCCAGGACTAAGGCTGAAAGATCACTGCAAGTATGAGGCCAGCGTGGGCTACATTGTGAGTTCAAGAACACCTTGAACTATACAGAGAGACCCTGCCTCAAAAAGAAAATCCAAAAAAACAAACAAAAAGGAAGTGATTTTTGGAAGCAGTGGACAGCTTGCCGGATACAGTGTAGACCCATGATGCCGTGGAAGGTTCCCACACTGGCAGACGAGGCTGTGGAAAGTAGCTGAGAGCCCACCATAGCCTAAACTTCGGCCTGCCTGTCACAGCCGTGGGCCCGTCTGCGTCTGGGGTCCACTGCTGAGGCCAGGAGCTCACACAGGCAGATCAATATGTTTGATGTAACATTCTCCCAAGGAGGGAGATTACACTCCGTGTCTTTATCACCCAAAACACATGCCATATAGCAAATGGTGTCAGCAGAATCATTTCAAAACCACCTCACAGTGGGATTTAGGAAGTGAGTTGTTTCAATTTCAACCCAGAGGTTCTACCTGCGATGAGCGAGAAAAGAGCTTATGGCCATCAACAACCCAGGACTAAGGGAAAGAGAAGCCTAAGTGGTTTGGATGTGAGTCACTGTGAGGTTGAAGGGAAAGCTTCACTTTTTAAGGCCATGAGGCAGGAGTTTATCTGTCTGTTTTTCTTTTCATCCATTTGTAATTTACCTGCCTGTCAAAACCACCTCAGAGCAAGCTAGGATCCAGACACCCAGGCCCTTCTCTTGAGCATCCTTGGCCTAAATGAGGCCTCAGAATTTGTATTTTAAAATGTTCTCCCCTAAAAGTTCACCTAAAAATTATATTTATGTACTGAGATTCCTCACTCTAAGGAAAACATTTGTACACATTTTTGTTGCAATGCTGTATTTTTCTTTTTTTTACTGCATATAGAACATTTAGATTAGACACTGTGGTCAGTGGTTAGTTTAGTCCACTCTCTGTGAACAAACTGATAACATTCCATAAGGTTTTCCTAGACTTTGCAAGATCTGAACATAGAGAAGACCAGAGGAAATTCATTTTCTGCAATAATGAAAACCAACATTAGCAACATGTCCAGATTCTTGAACTGTTTTTTTTGTTGTTGTCACTGTTGTTTTGTTTTTGCAGTACTAAGTTCAAAATTGGGGTCTCAGGAGTGTTAGACCAGCAGTCTACTTCCTAGACCTACTTCCCCAGCCCCAGATTCTTAAAACCGAAAGGATATTGGATTTAGAGACCAGGATTTGATTGGGAAAAAAATCATGGTATAAAATTAAGTAACCAGGAAGGATTTTTTTGCTTTATATGAAAACAAGAAACATTAAAAAAAAAAAAAAAAGCCACATGCAATGGTGCGTGCCTATAAATCCAGCTGCTTGGGAGGCTAAGGCAGGAGCATCACGAGTTCAAAGTCGGCTTGGACAATAGAGAAGGCTCTTGTCTATAAATAAATAAATAAATATTGTTTTCTTCTATATTAAAATGAAAATTTTAAAAAGCAATACCTAAATAAACGATTTGTACCCAGTGAAATTTTTTATCATCTTTAATGAGTGCAACCCAGGGAGAAATGGAATTTTTAGGCCCAGGACTGAGAAGTAGGAGCTGCAGTCTGAGACCAGCCTAAAACTGAAAAGATGCAGATCAGAATTGGGGGAGGAAGTGCCAGGGTGGGAGTGAAGCCCACCACTGCGGGCAGCCCACCGTGCTTGGGAGGTGGGGAGTAGGGAGCAGGCCCCAGTGCTCCAGAAAGCCACCAGCTCTGTGTTCACCCCAAAGCTGTGGGTCCCCAGCCAAGCCAGATCCAGCCCAGGAGTCTGGGGATGGTGGATGTTCAGAAGCCTGAAGCAGGTAGACATGTTACCTCCGAAACTCACCTCATAGCAGGACCCTGATGGGAGTAAGACGACTTCAGTGGAGAGGGTGGGAGTTTTGGATGGGTCACCAAGGGCAAGATGAAACTCAGAGAAACAAAGTCCAATTTTCAGGATCCGATTGCAGATTGTATATTTGAAAAAGGACTTTTACTTTAGATGTGCTGAATACACATTATATATTTTAGAAAGCTGTGCTTTTTTTTTTTTTTTTTTTTTTTTTTTTTGGTATCAGGAATCAAACTCCAGATCTTGGTGGAACCCCTGAGCTAAATCCCTGGCTCAAAGCTGTGTTTTTTAATATTTAGCTATCAACATGTATGCTATAGTGTAACCAAGGTCACTCTGCCCTTTATAGCTGCCCGAGACTGACTAATTCCTCAATTTGTTTAAAGTTCAGTGTTTTCCCCAATTTTAAAAGTCCCAAGGGAAAATTCATAGTCACTTTTAGTTCTCAATTTCCTGCCTCTGCAGAATTGATTGTTTGGGAATCATTTTGTTACTCTGTACATGCTGCCTCCTGTATAGACCAAGACTCAAAGTCAGCTCCTTTTCTTGATTTCATTCTACTGCCCACCCACCACCACTGAGTCACACACAACCGTTTTGTATATAGCAGACTTTGTCGAAGATGGGGTGGCCCTGGGGTAATACTGCAGCAAGTGCATAACTTATTATGTAAAAATCTGTTATTCCTCTTTTTAGAAGTTCTTTACTACTGTGACATATTGCTCAATGTCTTACTTCTCTGCTCTCTAACAACCAAATTCCTATTAATTTCTCATGTTTTCGGGGGTTTAAGGTACTTTTCCACAAGAGGCTCACCTAGAAGCACTTCTGCTCTTCGACCCAGAGGCCAGGAAACCCTGCTCAAGCACCGTGCCTTAGAGGAGTCTGTGCTAGGCGTCCCCAGACGTGTCCCGTCTGTATACTGAGGGTTTCCTCTGTCTGTGTGAGTGTGTGTGTGTGCACGCACACATGCGTGTGGGCGTGCATGTTGCTAGGGGCTGAACCTGGGACCTTGAGCATGCTTTAAAGCAAATGCTTTACCACTGAGCAAACCCCACCCCCAGCCCTCAAACATTTCTCTTAAGCAAAAATTTGGTTCATTCTTTAAAGGAATCCTGATTTACCAAAAAACAAAAGCACTTCACTTTGTTGCTGTATTTCTTTTTCAGTTCTAAGCCTTCAAGGTCAACAGCAGATGGTATCTAGTATGATCTGAGGTTAACTCCTAGGATGAGCAAGGGTCTCTATGCCTCCAAGTTGAAGAGTGGGACTAGTGTCACTTGTGGAGTGCCAAATTATCTGGCGGGCACTTACCTGTGGGGACAAATGCTTGTCAAGGTCAGGAGCCAAGTGGGGGCTGGCAGGCAGAAACTGCTATAAACGTCTGTTGGTTTAGAGACCAGGTTTCCCCACCAAGCTAGCTGCTTGGCGGCTAAGAATGGAAGCTCAGGGATCAGATTTGTCCTGAGGATAAACACCGAGCAAGAAGGCACAAGGGATGGGGACAATGAGCTTCGTGTCAGGTCTGATACTTCGGCTGGGGAGGCTGGAAAAGAGACTCGACATCCAGCCAAGAGGGCTTTTCCCTGTGTTTCTCTTGGCCATCTGTTCCAAACCATGCCAGCAGCCTCCTGCTGGAAAGGTCGGATGGGTGTGTGGGTAAAGCCCAATGTTGGTGCCACATGCCGCAGCAGATGCAGCTGCTCTTGGCTTGGTCACGCCTGGGTTTGCACCCAGGACCCTCGAGAGTTCTGTGCATTATGGTAATTAGCCATCTGCTGCAGCCTTCCAGCACCCGCTGATCACAAAAGGAAGCCAGGAGGCTCCTGGCGGCAGCAGCCCTGGAGGTGTGGGAGGCACCTCCCTCCTGGCCTCATCCTAGCTCTGTCCAACACTGTGAAGACTGGAAGGGAGCTGGCCCAGCCCTTGGTGGAACCTCGCAACTCTTGGGATCCCAGGGAAAGAGGCAAGCACCTCCCCACTGACATATCCACCATCATCTGCTCGAAGACAGGAGCTGGAATGGCCAAGTCTGCTGAGACAATGAGCTTTTTCATTCCCTTCAGGAGGAAGAAACACCATTTGTGTGAGAAGGTGACTGCTCCTTCGGGGATTGAGGGGCTAGAGGTCACATGATTGGTGACATTTCTAATCCGTTATTGCTGGAACTCTGAAATTACACATGTATCTAGATATTCGTAGGAGATGATGAGTAGCAACTACTTACATCCTAAAATTATAAATGGTATGTATACAAATATACTCAGCAGTAAGTATACAGTTACATATTTATGAGTGATATCAAGACTCATAAATAGCTATTGGTAGAAATGTTATCACAAACAACTTTCTAAGGATAGAAGTTTTCTTTTTTTTTTTTTTTATTTACTGTGTTTGTTGTTTTTTTTTTGCAGGGCTGGGAACTGAACCCAAGGCCTTATGCGTGACAGGCAAATGCTCTGTCTCTAAGCTGCTTTCCAGCCTGCAACTTTCCTATTAAATATGTCTGAATATACAAGAGTGAACTATAGAGCAGTCTGGGATTCTTAAATATATATCTCTCTGCAGTATAATCCTCAAGCCTTCTCAGGGTTTTTAAACTGTAAATCTGCATAAATGTGGACATAAATATAGAGCTGCATCTGCCTGAAGAGAGGAAAATGGTTCCAGCCCCAACTCTGCCCCCGCCCATGCACGCAGGGTCATACTCGGCAGGATTGTACTCAATGTAGCAAGAAAGGGGGAATAAGACAAAGCTCAGCCTCTTGGGGGCACTGGCTGAACTGAGATGTAGAAGCTCCAGGAGGACTGGAAATGCGGAAGCGGGGTGGTAAGAGCACGCAGCGGGGAGCGGGAGGCGGGAGCCACTCCGAGCGGAGCGGTGAAGGTGCGCAGCAGGGCGGTGTGATTACACCCGTGACTGGAAGGGCAAAGCCAGAGGTGTGTGCCGTGTCCTGGGACGCAGAGGAGCACCTGCTTGGCTGGGAAGCTAGGAGGACGGGGGACGGGGGCACTGTGGCGTTCCCTTGAGTGTGGCCTTGAAGGAAGCACACCTGAGCCCAGGGAAGAGGGAAAGCACTTCCAGATTTACAAATAGCCCCCATCCATGAACAAGCAAAGTGTGCCCTGGTGGTGAAGACTGGGGTGGTAGGCGCCCGGGGCCATGGCGGAGACGGACCGGACCGGGGAGCTGGACTGGTGGAGGGGAACTAGAGGCCATACTGTTGAGTAAGGGATTGACCCCGTAAGGGCGCGGGGGCAGCTACCAGGGTCTGAAGCTGGGGAGATAAGAAATCAGGCAAGTTTGCAAGAGGCGAGTCTGAAAGCCAAGATGGGGGTGAGGAGGGTGTGGCAGGAAGCTGGGAAAGAGGCCACAGTGACCACACCACAGCAATGGGGAGAGAGAGTGAGCTCCAGAGCTTGGTGGGGTAGAACCGGTGTGGCTGTGCGACAAGAGGGGGAAGCGGGAGTTTCTAGCTTTATTAGTTGGCTAGAAATACACTCTTAGCAGGAGTGGAAAATACAGGAGGAAGAGAAGCTGTGAGTGCTTGGGAGCTCTGTTTCCAACATTTCTGTGAAGTGACTGAACAACCTCAGGATGGATACATGGAGAGGGGAGCAAAAGGAATTTACACACGCATGCACGCATGCACACACATGTAGGCACACACAGCCCCTGTCCTCATAGAGAGAGTGAAGATCGAACACTAGGAGAAGACACAAACATTCGCCTGACCTGGGTCCCGGTCCCACTCCTGCTCCCCCGTGCTGGCCTCCGTCCCTCTCTGGAACCTGCCCAGCACACTCCACCTCAGGGCTGTGGCTCTGGCTGTTTCCTCTGCTAGAATGTTCTCTCCCACACAGCCACTTCCCTAACTTCAGTCAAGCTGCTGCTTAAACCTCAGGGCACATGCACGCTGCACCCCAAATCTCCCTCATCTCTCATGCCTTCGTTTATGCTTGGTGCCCATGTGAGAATGTGCGCCCCGTGAGGCCAGGAGTCCTAGGCTGTTAGTCACTGACAGAAGATACCAAACACTTAAAACAGTGCCTGGTTTGTTGAGTGAAGGAATGTTAAAACGAGAAACAAAATCTGATTAAGAATTTATCTTTAGCCAGGCATGGTAGCACATGTCTTTAATCCCAGAACTGAGAGAGGCCGAGGCAGGAGGATCCCAAATTCACATCCTGCCTGGGCAACTTAGTGAGACCCTGTCTCAGGAAAGAAAGGGAGGGAGGGAGGAAGGAAGGAGGGAGGGAAAAGGAAGGAAGAGCCAGGCATAGTGATGCACACCTGTAATCCCACCTCTGGAGAGGCTGAGGCAGGAAGATTGCCACAAGTTCAAGTCCAGCCTAGGCTACACGGTGAGTTAAAGGCCAGCCTGGAATATATAGTGAGACTACCAAACACAAAAACTTCTAATAATAATAATAAATTCTAATAATAATAAATTTTTAAAAAATAAAAAGGGCTAAGGGTGTAACTCAGGGAGGACACCCCAGGTTTGACTCCCAGTAGCACTACCACCACCCTTAAAATTCAAGAAGTGTCACACTCCTGTAACCCCAGCTACTCGGGAGGGGCTAAGGCAAGAGAATCTCAAGTTCAAGGCCAGGTTGGGCAACTAATAAGACACTGTCTCAAAATTTAAAAATGAAAAGTGCTAGGGACATAGCTCAGTTGTGGAGTGACTTGGGTTAAATCCCCATTGCCAAAAGAGAAAAGTAAAAAAGACTGAAAGAAAGGAAAAGTCATAAAGATACTTTAGTATATATGTCACAAAATGACAACTGTGGTTATTCTTAGAGCAAAATATGAGCCAAATATTTCTTATTTGGGAGGGTGTGTAATTTTCCTGACAAAATTGTTGGTTGGCATGCTATAATTTAGGTTAATTCTTTAACTTTTATGGTATGACCATTAAAAGATAACCTTTTGTAAAAATATTTGAGATCTTGTTGATTTTCCCAAGCACTTTTCTCTCTGCAAAACTAAATACAATCTTTTTTATGATTTGATGTTTGAAACTTTTATCAGCATATCTTTGGCACCCATAATGATCACATTCATTATAGAGAATTTGTACCTGTGCGTTACTTTTTTTTCTCTCGTTTTCCTCCCTTGAACCCTTTTTACCCTCCACATTTACAAAAGCTTTGTTTCCATTTTTCCCCTTCTATTCTGTCTTTTTAAAATCCCTTTCCCCTTCCTTCCCTCCCTTCCCGCCCTGTGTCTCTTTCTTTGTGAACACGTTCTTCTTACTTCCTGATACCTAGCTTCCATTTTGCTCTTGTTTACCCTTTGGGTTTCCCACAAAAGAGAAACAATCTGATATTTATTTATTTAGGTACCAAGGATTGACCTCAGGACCTTGGGCTTGAGAACCAGGGGATGGAACCACTGAGCTAACTCCTCAGCCCAACAATGCAATATTTAAACTTGTAGATCTGATGTATTTCACTTAACACTATGGCCTCAAGGTGCATTCATTCACCTAAAAATGGCTCAAATTTGTCCTTCTTTATGGCAGACTAGTACTCCATTGTATATAAATAACACATTTTCTTTATACTTTCATCTTCAGTGGGCTGTTTCCTGGGTTTACCTATTATAAACTGTGTTGCTACAAACATGGATAACTATGATCGTGAAAGATAATTGATATCCAGTGAAATGCTCAGTGAAGTATAATTGATATCAATGAAATGAACTACAACATTCAATTCATTTCAGGAATTCATATTAAGATAGAATAATTATTCTATCACCCCAGAAAGCTCCCTTAGCTCCCCTTACCCATGCACTCTCTTACCTGATTTCTCCAACCATAGGTTAGTTTTTTCTATTCTAAATTGTAAACAAATTAATTGGTATGAAGTATAGTTGTTTGTGTCTGGCACGTTTCTCTGCAGGTAGCGTGTTGAGATGCATCATGGGGTTGTATGTTTTGTAGCTCAGTTCTTTTTAGTCCTTAGCAGTATTCCAAGGACTTTTCCTTGGAAGGCTCATCTGTTACACTTTTGTGAAATTGTTTTGCCTGTGTTCAAGGAGTTCTTTCTCACTTTCATGGCATAAACTTTTGTAACTTCTATAAACTGTTGCTTCACTTTCTGATCAATTTCCATCTCCTTTGCATTGTATCATCCACTGTATATTTAATGATGCATGAGAAATAAACCCCCAAAGTGTGGCTTGATTGTTGGCATAAAAGGATGACTGTAGCGGAAACTAATTTAGCAATAGTCTTTCTCTCTCTCTCTCTCTCTCTCTCTCTCCCTCTCGTCTCCCTCCCCCTGCCCCACCATCTCTCCTCCATCTCTCTTTTTACTGGGGATTGCCTAGGGCCTGTACACTAAACCACTGAGCTACACTCCTTTCTGCCTGCTCAGTGTTCTCATTTTTGTGCTCTTGGTTGAAGCTGAATCATGGTCACCCCATCTTCACTCTACTCTGTAAGCAAGAGGAAAGCAAGGGAAAGCCACAGGCTTCCTCTGAACGATGTCATGGGACCCATGTCACTTCTGCTCCAAACCCAATGACTTTGGCCCAGTTCTGTGGCTGCTCTAAGCTGTAAATAATTTCAGAAAATAGACTTTTCCCAGCCCTGGAGGTGGCTGACCGCTCAGGTGGTGACTCAGGTGCCAGTTGTCGGGGCAGGTCTTAATGAACTCAGTGGAAGAACAGACTGCTATCAGCTCCCAACCTCTACACTTCCTTTTTTCGAGGCCCCTTCTCTGCCAGGCTGCTCTCCTCTATTGTGATACACTCACATAAAAGTTCTTTCCTCTGCGGGGAGTAGTGTGATCCCAGCACTCTGAGAGGCTGAGGCAGGAAAATCATAAGTGGGAGCCTAGTCTGGGGAACTTAGTAATTTAGCAAGACCCTGTCTCAAAATAAAAAATAAAAAAGGGCTGGGGATGTAGTTCCATATGAAAGCCCTTGATTCAATCACCAGTGATGCAAAAAAAAAACCAAAAAACCAATCCCGGCCTCTTGTCCTTTTTCCTGCCTTCTGTGAATAGAGCACTGGGGGATGGGGGAGATTCCCGACTGAAAACCAACCTAGAGAGTGTGGGCCAACCACGCCACCTCTGCAGACGCAGGCCTGGGGATGAGGACATCTGCAAGTCGGTCCCCGGGAAATCCTGTCTTACACATCTGCACCACAAGGCGCTACTTATGTAAGTACCAAGTCCTGATATGGTGGGTCGGGGTCAAAAAAGGAAGAAGAAATGAGAAGCTTCTACATCGCGGGTCTAGGTGACCGTATTGTTAATGCTCTGTCCAAATACTTGTCTGACTTACCTGCTGAAGATAATTATCGTTGGTGAAAATACAGACTCCAATAAAAGTGAGTTCTTATCTTCTAGACCAGCTTTATAATTTGCAAATATTGAGCAGCTATTAAGATATTGCCACATTTAAAGGCCATACTCTCAGGGCTCATTTCTGTAGTTGGTGATATTGCCATATTTGCTTCCTGGCTCCATATGAGTACAAAGTTTTTCCAGAGTCATTGAGAGGTACACATGAGCTCTGTGACTCTCAAATACTTCCATGTAAGTTTACCAAGAACAAGGACATTCTCTTATAAAAGTACCTAAAGAAAACCGACACTGACATAACGCCACTATCTACTGTACAGGAAACATCTGTTACTCTGTTAATGTCCCGATAGAGTTCTTTGTGCCAATCTCTCCCCCATCACTTCATTATGCACCAGAATCCAAGCTAGAAAGATACACATACATTTAATTGTCACATTCATATTTGGCAAACATCACGTGAAAATTTCATATCATACATCGTTCCATACAACCGGGATTCCACTCTTAGCTGCTGGTGTCCTCGAGTCCTGGCCCTTTGTTTTCTTTTCCCGGACATAATCAGTAGAGTGACCTTGGAAGCAACCACCTACTCCCACTAAGGCTTGAGATAAAGCTAAAATTCAATCAGGTATTACTTTAAAATGGATAGGAGATGTGGCTTCACCACACAGGAAATAGAAAAAAAGCTCCAGGAAGTCCAAATTCAGGCCAGCCACAAAGATGGTTCAGTATCTGAGGAGCCAGTGAAATGAAGGATGCAGTAATATCCCAGGTAGATCGGAGACGTCCTTAATAGGTAACTTGACAACACGTTTCTAGAAGTTCTAGAGGTAGGACCGGGGAAAGAGTTCAAAAGGCAGTTGGGTCACAAGGAAAACTATCCTGGAACCTGCAGCTCCACCTCTCAAATCTTGAGAACATTTCTGGTCCATGAACAACTCTGCCAAAGTTTTCAGGGAAAGAAAGACAAAAATTACTTAGATACCAGGTGTGGTAGCATAGCTATGCCTGTAATCCCACCACTGGGGAGGCTCAGGTAGGAAGACTGACACAAGTTCAGGGCCAGTCTGGGCTACACAGTCAGTTCAAGGCCAGTCTGAACTACATAGTGAGACCCTGGCTCCACACACACACACAAATTCTTCTAATTACTTAACTGACACACACTTGTAATCTTAGCACTTGGGAGGCTGAGGCAGGAGGATAGCCATGAGTTCAGGACCAGCTTAGGCTAGATAGTAAATTTAACACCACCCTGAACTACAAAGTAAGACCCAATCTCAAAAAAATAAAATTGCTTAGATGGAATATTTATTTCCTTGGTGGGTAGAAATAGATATGTATAATTATGTATAAATATAAAAGATGTTAAATTAAAATATTAGACATAATCTGTATATTTGGCATTTATGTACTATGCATATTCAAGAATTCGGAACTTCGGCTGGGTGTGGTGGTGCCCCTCTGTAATCCCAGCACTCAGGAGGCTGAGGCAGGAGGACGGCTCTTCATTCTAGGTCAGCCTGGGCTGCAGAGCCATACCCTGTCCCCCGCCAAAAAAAAAGAATTTGGGACTTCAGAGTATTTCATAGATTAAGTTTAGGGTCTAATGAAAATATGTAATTGAAGGATTACTTTAAACCTGTGATTTTAGGTTGAGCTATTACTGTTAATGGTATCAGACAGCAAAAAGAGTATCAGATGAAAAAAAGGTGAGATTTGCTATATTTACAAATTTTATTCTTAGAGTTAAAAGATTTAAATCTTGAGAAAGTATTTAGTAGTCAGAGAATTGTATCTCTTCAAAGTAAAATGTATAAATACATTTGAAATATTTAAAAGAGTTTAATTTATTAAGTTTATAAATAATAGAAAATGTAATTAAAGGCCATTGCAAAGAGATTATTAAAATTGTGCTAAAGTTTTACATAAACTATTATAATCTGTAAACTGAATTTAACACTTAATAGTTTTTCCTATTTTGTAACTTGAACAATTTGAATATTAATTTTTTGCTTGTGTTTTTGGTTTGTTTTGTTTTTCTGAGACAGCCTCTCCCTATATAATTCAGGCTGGCCTTGAATTCACTATGTAACCCAGGTTGACCTTGAACTCATGGTGATCCTCCTGCCTCAGCCTCCAGAGTGCTGGCATTGTAGGTTTGCACCATCACACCTGGCTCAACATTAATTCTTAAAACTAAATACATGAGCTGGGTATAGTAGCACATGCCTGTCATGCTAGCATTTTGGGAGGCTGAGACAGGAGGAACACCAGTTCAAGCCTAGCCTGACAACTGAGTGATTTTGTGAGATGTGGCTCAGTGCAAAGGCTCAATCCCCAGCAACACACACACACACATATATAATCATTGCAGTGGCCAGAAGCCATTGTCCAAAGCACTGGCACCCAGCCTACATTGAGGGCAGTCTCCTTCCCAAGGACCGGGGCGTGCTCGGCTGGCCGCACCTGGCAGTCCTGGCTGGGATGCTATTTACCCAGCGGTGACGGAAACCACTCCCTCTTTGCACAGAAGAATTAAGCTACCAAGGACCGTGGTCGTCTCCGTTGGCATCATGGTCTTCAGTTTCCAATCTTGAGGTGACTCTCGACCTGCCATGTGGGCATGTTTTACAGTTTTAATTATTTTTATTGACAAAAAAAGTTCATTCAGTCCTTGCCTGGTCTTTTATCGTGTTTTTCTCTCAGACATAAAATGAGTGAAAGGAGCCTTCTGCTCTCGCGGTTTCAGTTTTGCCTCTAAAATGCTGTGTTCGGGCGAATGCTGCTGCCCCTTCCTTGGGGAAGACGCCCCTGACTGCGCTCATGCTCACCTCGGTCAGCCACGGCCAGGTCTTCTCTCGGCAGACCCATCCCACACGGGGTCCTTGTCCCTTCTGAAGGAGCGAGGACCATGGCCACAGGCAACACCACCACAGGTGAGCGAGCAGGAGTGTGGATGGTGCGGAGAGAGGAGCCTGGTGCTCTGACTGCTCTGTGTCTCCCGAGGGCCCACACGGTCCGGTCCTCTCCGGGCCCTCATACTGCGGGCCTCTCTGGCCAGCTGCCCTATATTGCTGTCTTTGCTTTGCTTAGGTGATGTGCAGGCGCAGGGAAACGCTTCTGAGGTGTGTAGAATGGAGCCCGGCACAAGGTAAGTCTCTGTTACAGAACCATCGCTATCAACACGGGCATCACCGCTGTTTGTGTGACACCAGCTTAGTGAACCAGGAAAGACACACGAGTTTTCATCCTGAAAACTCAAGACACGCGCAAGCCACATGATCCCACAGAACGGCCATGGGGAAGGTAGAAATTTCGAGAGCTGTGCCCTGGTCACAGTTCCAGGAAACTAAGGGCGCAGTGTCTGTGCATACTTTGTGTTTTCTCTCCAATCTTCTCATCAGATTCACACATTGACATCTTACTCTACATAATGGGGGCTGGGCGCTGAAAATTTTTAAAGTTTAAAACTCAGATCAATACTGACTGCCCAATAAATCTGCTTCAACCTCAGATTGAGGTCAAAGCCTTTGCATTACAGAAACCTCTCTGTTACATTAAAATGCAGTGAGGAGCCATTCGCACAGTGAAGAATTCCATCCCTGGCCTCCTGCATCACCTTTTCCTACAGAGCAGCAGAACTCCGGAGGCTCCACCTCTGTGAGCTCCAGACCTCAGTTCCTCCTGAACACTCCACACTCTCTGCCCTCTGCACTTCCTTCCCAGGACCTCCCGGGGAAGCCCAGGGCTCCGCAGGTAACCGAGGGTGAGGACTCCTCCCTTCCCTCCTTCCTTCATGCTAAAATAATCCCCTTCAAAAACCCAGACTCCGAAACACAGCAGTGTGGTCAGGAAAACTGCTAATGCCCCTGTCACCCTTCTCTTTATCCGGAGCTCAAGGTCTAGTCATTTGCATGGAATGTGTTTCATTTTTCCCAAGAAGAAGCAGTTCCCTGCCATTATTCAGTCATAAAGAATGAAATCGTGTCTTTTGCAGAAAAAATGGATGGAACCTGAAAATATGTTAAGCCACATAAGCCAAACCAGAAAGACAAATATCACGTTTTCTCTCGTGGGGGTGGTGGAGAATGAAAAGGAAAGGGCAGAGAGCATAAGGGGGCTGGAGATGTCAAAGAATGTTATACACAGGTGGGAATGAGCCAAAATGAAACTCATTGCTCTGTATAACTAATATGTACCACAGGAGCAAAAGAAATGCTTATTTACTATGAGAGAGTAAACTGCCTAAAGCCAAAGGTACATTTTGGGGAAAGAAGTCTGCCCTGGGGCTGGGGACAGGCTCAGAGGTAGAGCACTTGCCTAGTATTCCAGAGGCCTTGCCTTGCCTCCCCAGCACCAGAGAGAGAGAGAGAGAGAGAGAGAGAGGAAGAGAAGGGAAGG